TTCCATGGTATCCAAGCTTTATCAGTAAATGTTTGCTGCAGGCTGCTGCCTGCAGCTGTGGATCATGGCAGCAGCATCTGATCACTCCTGGAGGCGCCGAGGTCCGCAGGCAACAGTACAGACCGGGAAACGTATCTTCTGGATCACCAGTAGGAAGCTGGGGGGCCGGAAATAAGCTCGGATATCCGCATGCTGATGGAAACACTTCTCTTTTGTTTAAAGTTATGTAACCCATTGGTTAAGAAACCATTGGTGAGTTGTTCTCTTGAATGTTCTGGCTGACGATTATTTTCTGAGAACATTCTGGATAATATTGTGCATAAAAGTCGATACAAAGATTAAAATCAGTGGTTTTAAAAAAACAGTTTAACATCAATATTCTGGCTTTTAATATCGATATACCTCCCAAACCAAAGGGGGCGTTATTACATCGTGCTATTACTGTTTCCAGAGAGGAAGTGCACGTGAGACAAATTATGCAGAAAAGTCCCCTAAAATCAGACGTTTGAGCACATTAATAAGCTAGAGAGGGGTGGGGAGGGTCACTCCTGGTATGCTTTTTCTATGTTTAAAAACCTGAAGATAAATCTTTGCTAAGTTTCTTTTGCACATTTCTATAAGCTGCCTATATTGTCCAAGAAAACAGAGCACATTTATGATTTTTGTGATATTTGAAGTGCATTGAACCGAATGCACTTTATTTTACTGTCAATATATCAGTGCTTAATAAATTAAGCATAAATATCGTATTTGGCTGATTGAATCAGTCCATCGCAGGGCAACAGAGAGACACACAGAACAAACATCCATTCACACACACTCACACCCGAGGAGAATTTAGCAACGCCAATTAACCCAACAATCATGTTTTTTTACTGTGGGAGGAAGCCGGAGTACCCGGAGAGAACCCATGCATGCTAAGGGAGAACATGCTAACTCCATGCAGAAAGAGCTCGGGCCGGGAATAGAACCTGGAACCTTCTTGCTGCAAGGCAGCAGTGCTACCCACTGCTCACTGACTAGACCTGTGTTGTGACTAATTCTGGCTGAATTATATTTACCTTAATATTACGAATTTATTCTCAGAATTTTGTGACTTTATTCTAGTCACTGGAAAAACAATCTAGAAATAAGTTAAAACTTCCTAAATTAAGTTTATTTACCCTCAATGTGAGAAGGTAAATTAGATAGTTTGCTAATGGAGTGAGTATTTCTACTCTTAAAATTAGACAATTAGATAATATGCACTTGAAATAACTTCCACTTTCTTATTTAAAGTGTAAATTGTCTTGTTCCATTTGCAAAATGTCTCTTTTATCTCCTCAATCCAAGAACAAATGCACTTATTTTAGGAAAAAATGACTTATCTAGATTTGGATTTTTTTTTCAGTGTACAAATAAATTCTTGTAATATAATGTTTTTATTTCCATATTGCTACGACTTTATTCTCATAATGTTGTGACTTTATTCTTCTTATATTATAACTTTATTTTCGTAATATTACAACATTATTCTCATAATGTTAGGACTTTATTCTCATATCTTTTTAAATATCTGTAATCTGGCCCTAATACTCCTCTACGGAGGAGTATTAGGGCCAGTCTGTGAGGTCTTGTTGATTTTGACACTAACATGAGTAAAAGTGTCTCTGACACTGACTTTAGAGTCAATTTTACACTCATTTGGAGATGGACCAAAGGTTATCGGAGACAGAGTTATATTCAACTCTACTGATGTTAAAGTAACACTCGATTTTTACTGTGCAGGAAGACAACATTCAGATGAAAGCCTCCTAGTGGTTATAACCCAAAAGACTGAGTATTTATATCCAGAAAACATTTATTAACGACAGAAAAACTAATACAGCAGAAATCAGTAGTTAGATCACTGCAAAACAATCTAGAAATAAGAAAAAAATCCTTAAATCAAGTGTATTTTACCTTAATTTTATTAGGGAAATGGGATGATTTGCCAATGGAATATTTTATGTTTTGAGTATTTTTACTCTTAAAATAAGATAATAAGATAAAATGCACTTGTAATAAGACAATGCAGACGCGTTTTCCTATTTTAAATGTAACAAGAACAAATGCACTTGGTTTAGGAAAAAATTACTTATTTAGATTTCAATTTTTTGCAGTGATCATTTTATACATCCTGCATTAGGAGGAGAGTTTTTCATTCTAACGCCAACAAAGTCTTTGGTTTCTGAACCACTGTTTGAAGTAACAAACAAAAACAACTGCCAAAAAAATCCCAAAGACGAAGAGAAGGCCAGCAATGTTCTGAGATGAAGCAGATCCTGGAGGAGCAGGCGGAGGTTTGGTGATCTTATCCAGCCCAACACATCCAGACGCCAAAGTGAAGTTCAGATTTCCTCTGGCGCTCACAAACCCCTAAACATGAAACATTCAGGTTAACCTCCGTGGTGCAACACAGGGAAGACTGACATGGAGGAACAGAGGAGAATCCATCGACATTTAATGAGACTCTGATCTAAAGGCTGCGCATGATGAACCATAGGCTAATGCTCAGGGTGCCATGATGTTCACCGAGGTCTCATGGTAAAAATACGTCGGAAAATATCTGCTACTGCACCTTTAAGCTCATTTTCATTATGGCCTGTTGGTCTCCGGCACGTGCTCTGAGTCCTGAGGAACATCTGCAGCTAATAGAGTCTTAAAACAAGAGGGGAGTGAGCTTTTCCTTTAGTCCGCCCCAGACTTAGGAATACTTTGCCCCTCCATAAACCAACAGCCTCCACAGTGAAGGGTTTTAAGTCTCGTCTAAAAACCCGCTTTTGCTCTTTGGCTTTTAACACTGCAGGATTCTGTGGTCATCTGTGTCCTTATTTATTTAATTTTTTAGTCATTTTCAGAGAGGGGAAGTAACGAAGTACAAATACTTCGTTACTGTAGATTTTTCTCAAGTACTCTACTTTTCTCAAGTAGATTTTTCTTATATTTTTACTTTACTTTACTACTTATTTTTATGGCGACTTTTTACTTCTACTCCTTACATTTTTACACAAATATCTGTACTTTCTACTCCTTACATTTTAAAAAATTGGCTCGTTACTTTAGTTTTGAATCATTTCAATGGAGTTACCGTTATTATTTTTCACGTCATCAATACCAAATTCAATCTAATTGGATGGGAATCTACGTTGCATTTGACGCACCACTACAAGATGAATCGACAGATTCGGCGGTATTCATTGGCGGCAAATCATTGCAGCTTGGTGGCGGTGGCGTTAGCATAGTAGCATGGACGACGAGCTGATTGAAAATGAACACAACGGAGATCTAGTCCTATTGGCAGACATCCATTTAAAATGTAGGCAACGGCATGAAAAAAGTGGTTTCTACTTTTACTTTTATACTTTAAGTAAATTTACAAGCCTGTACTTTGTTACTTTTACTTGAGTAAAGAAGTTTAATCAGTACTTCCACTTTTACCAGAGTATTTTTTAACACAAGTATCTGTACTTTTACTCAAGCACGGAAAGTGAGTACTTTTGCCATCTCTGATTATTTTAAACTCTTATTGCTTTTGTGTGTGTGTTGGTTTTTTTTGTTTGTTTTTGTGTACAGCAAATTGGAAAGATTTGTTGTTGTTAAATGTGCAATAAAAATAAAGTGGATTGGATAAAAAAATAAATAAAAAACATCAAAATAATTAGTTTCATCCAAACAATAATTTCTTTGTGGTTGAACTCGGTGCTGCCCCAACTTGTTGTTCACCTAAATAAATAGTTTTTCCGGATGATGCAAAGTTAAATGAGACACTGTTATTAGTATTATTAGTTATAAAACTAAGAAAATGAAGTCTAAGGAAGGTATCATCCAGAATTGTAGAAAAATGTTCCTTTAATAAGGTAGAGCAGCAAAGCGTCTGTCCTTAACTTTTTTCCTGCAATACTTTTACTTTTAAATTGCACATTTACATTTTACTGGAGTAAAAAGCTTCAGTTGATCCTCTAACGTCTAGAAAAGTGTTTTTAAACAGTACACTGCAAAAACGATCTAGAAATAAGTAAAAATTTCTTAAATAAGTGTGTTTACCCTTGATTTGAATAGGTAAATTTGTTAATTGGCTAATGCAATTAGTATTTTTACCCTTAAAATAAGATAATTAGATAATATGTACTTGGAATAAGTTTATTTTCTTATTTTAAATCAAAATTGTCTTGTTCCATTGGCAAAATATCTCTTTAATCTCCCCAATTTAAGAGGAAATGCACTTATTTGAAGAAAAAATTACTTATCTAGATTTAGATTTTTTCCAGTGTAGGATTTCGACTTCTACTGGAGTAATAAACATGAATGATTTTGACTCCTCTGCCGACGGGTCCAGGACCTCTTATCATGGACCTTCTACCAGCATGACCCACCAGGGACCCTGACACTCTGCAGACTGTAAGGCGCCCTCTGCATCCCTAATGCAAACATAGGGAACCTCTGCAGAGCCCTGCAGAGTCCTTCATGGCTCTGGGACTTTTATTTTCTCTAAGATGTTCATCCAGTGTGAAAAGCTGCAAGATTTATTATCACAAACTTTCAAAAATAATAAAGCTGTAATTTTCCTCATCCTGCCTTCAGTGTTTGTTTTGTGTGAACATGAAAAATAATAATCAATAAAACACTAGTTTTATTTTTGGCTTCAACATCTGGATGTGATCTTTGAACAAGACGACTTACATCATGATAGAGGATCTTTGTTTCTGTGAAGTGCAGTCCTTTAGGCAGCGGGAGGAAGACTCCGTCAGCAAACCATCCTGCAAACACAGACGCCTCAGAACACGCCTAAAATTTACATTTGCTTCTGTTCAGGTGGGATTCAGCAGGTTTGCTCTTACTCTTCATAAACCCTGAGATCTCTTTGCTTAAACCCTTCTCCTCCTGTGGCAGAAACAAACACACACAGTTACTGTTTTTTTCTTGTTAGAAACAAAGATGCTGTGAACGTAAAGAGGCTCAGAAACATCGCAGCTGTTTTCCTCCCAAAAAAAATCCAGGAACAGATTGAATTTCACACCTGCAAAAACAATCACACTAAGTTTATTTCACTTCTGCAGAATTTCCCAGTAACTATGATAAAAGGTGTGTATCTCAGTGTGTGTTCTGGGTTTTTACTGCGGATCTTTGGAGACCAGAACCAGACGGCTTCCACTGAGGTCCACCTTCATCGGCAGCTGACACTTCTGTTAGGAGGGAAAGATGGCGGCTAAGGATGATGCTCAGCAGTAGACATTTTCAGGGGCAGGTGCTCGGGTTGAAAGAAGGGAATCTTATACGTCGCATGTAGCCGCTAACAGCTAAACATGCTTAATGACCTTCCACAGGTAGCAATGCAACATTGGTGTCTTGCTTTGACTGCATATATACAGTATATAAAACAATTTGCAGATGAACTAAGATTTAGATTTAAAAAGTGAAACAAAATGTCTTATTTAGAGTACATAAATGTAATAATCTTATTTTAATGTTAAAAAATCTCATTCCACTGACAGATCTTCTTATTTTCCAGTTCAAATTACGGACAAATGCAGTTATTTTCAGAAAATATTACATATTTTCAGGTAATTTTTTGCAGTCCAAGACAACACAGAAATAAAAAATGCAGCTTAATCAACACCCTACTTTAACTGAATGCAACTTTATTAAAGATATTTTTATGAATTGTGAATATTTGGTCTTATGTTTGCTTTTAAATTAAATCTTTAACAGGCAAAAATTAACCAGTGTGCCTTAGCTGTCATAAAAAAGTCAAATAGATGTCATCAGGGAGACCCTGACAGGGATGATTACAGCAATTCAATAATTACACCTATGAGATGCTTTTAGTTATATTTTTTTATTTTGTAATTTAATCAAAGAGTTGCGTTTTAAACCGTTCCTTAGCGTCTGGTAGAGGCTATTAAAGATGCTAAACTATAAACTAACCAGGTGGCGAAGGAGGTAAATACGGTCGTTTAGTAACCTGGACGGTTAGCTGGCCCGTCACCATGGCAACGGTCTATGGAGGCGGTGCTACACGTCTCCTGGAGCGTAAAAAGGTAAAAACGAAAAATGATTTTAGGAGGGCACTTATTTTGTCCAGGGGGCAGGTGCTCTAGCGCCACCTTGTGTCTATCTGTGCACATCCCTGATGCTCAGCCATGTTGCTTTATTTCCTGACCGGTAATTTTGTGTCAGGATTATCCCTGAGGAACCCCGTCCGTATTTTGGGGTTTTAAAATGAAGCAGAAACTTTAAATCGACCTCATTTCCACCATTTTACTAAATAAGCTGATTAGTCCTTAAAGACGATGAACGATACAAAAAATATGCATGTTTTAAATAGGTATGACAAACACAAAGGCTGTTTCTCAATATCTGTACTTGTGCGTTCTTGTGTTCTCGTGAAATGAGCCTCTGCACTGTTCCAATTCACAAGAACAGCAGACCGAGAACTGACAAAATCCCTGGATGTTGTTCTGGCCCCTCCCTCTTTACCCAGCATGCATCAGAGCACATTTTATCGCTACCCAATCCGTACCATCAGCTCATTGGCTCATGTGCCAGTAGATTTTCATCCAGGTCGTCATAAATACCGTAATTATGGTACTAAAAGTACTTATTTAATCGGACATGATCAGTGTAGTCCAACAAGATATGATTAAACCATGTTTATCTGCATCTTAGGGGTTTGTCTTTCTTTATATTACTACTATACCACTACTATACATTACTACTATACCACAGATGAGTGATAAAAGGATATTAACCTTTAATTTATTATGTTTTACTACCCTTACTATGTTTAGGGAGGAAAAAATGTAAATAAAATTTTTACAAAGTTAAATCGAGGGATCTGGATCTGGTTTGTAATCTCCTTTTATCTGAGCAGCCATAGGCGGAATAAAAGTCGGGCATCCTGAGAGGAAGCTCAGGAAGTTTGCTGTCAATACAGAATCTAAATTATTGGATCAATTAGTTGACCCCATGTAAACCGTGAAACTGTTTTGCATTAAGCCAATTTATCTGGAAATCCTTTGAGAGTTCACCGGATTCTGAGCATAAATTCATAAAGTAGGATTAACCTCAGTCGGGGTCTATCGTTTCTGACAGCAGCCTGGTCTGACCTAATATGGCTGCTCTGTTGGCATGCCTCTCACCCGATGATGGGGTCTACCTGTGTCTATGGTACAGATTGGGGAGTGGCAGATGTTCTCCAGACTGACAGCTGTCCCAGCAAGCACTGCAGACACTGCGGTCCATTTACTGATTTAATGCGTAATTAAAAAGCGGGCATCCGAGACTAACCTCAGCCAGGGCTAACGTTAGTCCGCCTGCAGCAGCTTTCTCACAGCGTAGCCGTGTGTGAAGTACAGCTGGTTCTGATGGAGGTTTGATTGTTATATTTGGCAAAATGTTCATTTTCATTTAGCACTGCTGCCTTGCAGCAAGAAGGTTCCAGGTTCGATTTTAGTCCATACTCACGTTTTTGTGTATTGAGAAACGGCCAAAGTAAAGGATAATGTACAGTTTCATTTTTTCAAATGAATTATTTATTTTTGAATAAATGTTTTTTAGTTTACCACACGGCTGAGACTTCCTCTATCCACAGACAGCGCGGTACCCTCTGCGTTGACCGCCAACCCGTTCCCAGTGATCCTGATGGTAGGAGCTGCGGTCAGGTTCACTATAACTGGACCCTTCGGTTAGAACAGATCCAGCGTTACAACAGAGAGAAAACACAGCGATTCATCTGTTTTAATGAGGGTGTTACCTGCAGAAGATTCCTGATGTCCAAATGAAGATTTGTAAAGGATCCTGTCTGTGGAAGAGACAAACCAAACAAAGTAAAAAAGTTTTTTTCAAAAGAAAAGCAAGTTATCAACTAAAGTTATCACCAATTTATTTTATTTACAAGTTAACACATTTGTTGAAGATAAAAATCTATGATATTCACTGAAAACAAGGAAACACATCTAGACTGATGGAAAAAGAAGGTTGTATTATTATAGATGAGTTTCTGCTAATGCTGCTTTCACACCAAACCAGCCTTGGGCAGCAGAAGCAGGCGGTTCACATGTTAAGTCCATGGTTAAGGTCCATCAAGGCACCAAATGGTCCCATTTCAAGCAGCTGGAGGGTTCTAAGCATCCAGCGTTCCCTCTCTGCCTGATGGTCTGAGCTTGACCCTGTTTCAGCCTTCCGGGTTGTTCTGCTATGCTTCGCCCTGACTGAGCTCACGTCAGCTTCTGTTCCCTGGTTTTAGTCTCCGGCTAAGATTCCTGTATTGGACTGAATTCTGCTCTGACCTTCACCTGACTGCCTGGTCGCGGTTAGTGGATCTGCCTCCTATCATCACAACTCTTTGCATCTCTGGCTAAGATCCTAATGGACCTTCCAGCTGTGCCTGCCTTTGTTTAAACCTATCAGATTTTCCCCTGTGGGGATAGGCACCTGCACCCCTCCCAGCCGGGCTAGAGCGTGATGGAAAATGGATGGATGGATTTCTGGACTGATCTTGCTTCAAGTCCTCATCTGCAAAAACCCAGTTTCCTCTTTAAGGATTGAAAGCTATTGATTCGAAATACTTGCTGGATTCAGAAGAAGGTTTAAAGATCCTCTGAATCACCTGTCGGTCACTAACCCGCTCTCTCCCTCCCAGTTTTTCCTGCTACCTTGGTTAAACCCGCTCCAGAGTTCTCTGCATTACTATAATTAAACTTTTAACTGTTCTCTTTGTGTCTGATTGTATCAGGGTCCACAGTTTGATACGTTACATCACTGGCCAGATTTTAATGTAACATTTTTGCTGCTAGGTGTTGATGGAAAGAAGTTGGCTTCTTCAGCCAGTAGGTGTTGATTGTGTCTGCGCTTCAGTTCTTCCTGAGAGTCTATTGCCTGCCACTGTAATATTCATTAGCGGGAGGTTAGCATGGTCCGCTCTCGGGTCTTTTAGCGATTGAGCATAATTCTTATGTGATGCTTCTTTCTCATATAATCCTTTCCAGTGTTGTTCAGTCCCCAGCCTTGGTGGGTTGGGTCGCTTGTTATTACCCTGAAACTGGGTAATAACACCTGAGCTGCTTTATTGCAGAACAGCAGTTTATTCGTCTGGCTTCCATGTCTTCGGTGCACCTCCTCGATCAGGCTGCCAAGGCTTGAAGTCTTTGCCTTGCAGTTTCCACGGCCTCAGGAATGGGCATCTGTTTGTAATACTGCCGCATTCCTCTGCCAGAAGATCCCCTCTTGAGGTCAGAGAGTTGGTATCTTCTTTCCGTACTCCTTGATTTTGGCTTCCAACCTCCTCCCAAATGGTGAACATTGGTCACTGTAGACGCCCTTTTCCTTACCTTGTCCAAGCATCTCAAGGATCACAACTGCTTTACAGTGTTTGTCTCCCTGAATCGGTTCTGACTTGGTTAGGCTTGGATTCAGCCTTGAGAAACATAAAATTTGGTTATAGGATTCACAAAGCTGATCTACTTAGAGGGAGCTCCTCAGAATGTGTCTGTCAAAACAATAAAATGCAGCATCAATCGGTTTGGATTGTTTGCATTGCCGTCAAGTGTCCTGTTTGTGCCAGGAAACGATCATATTTCGACGCTTCTGTCCCACCATCCTACCATATTAACAACCTTCTGTAAATTTCCTAAATTATTCTATTATGAAAAAACATTCTACTGCCTCCTACAACAAAACTGTCGCTAGCATCGCAAATCAAAATAGGATAAATTACTGTAGTTTGCAATTAGTTGACAAGTGTTTATTTTAGATTTCTTGTGCACATGTCTTAATCTATAATGGATGCCGAAGTTTGACTGGGAGAGTTGGACGGCTCGCAGCAGATGTAGTAAAATTTCCTGTATTTTCAAATTCAAAACCTGAGAGGTATGAGTTTTCCTTCATGGGTGTTTGGAATATATGCTCATCAACAAATTCTTGCAAAATACTGGGAGGAGGCTATTCAAATGTAATTATTTAGTGATAAAGTCTACGGCTGACTGAAGGAAGCCAGATTCTCTGGATAAAGCGCAGTAGTTCTTCTATTTTAACGTTTACCTTCCTGACTCTTAAAGATGTTTCTCTGAAATCTAGGATCATCTTTACAAACAGGAGTAACATGCGAAAGTAAAACACAAGAATAAAAATGAGTGAAAAGGAAAAAGTCCTACCTCCAGGTCTTTGAGCAGAAACGGTCCTGATTCATAGAGTGACATCGCAGCACCGTTGAACAGAAACTCAGAGATGCAGATATAGGCCATCCAGTTAGCGTCACTCCAGACTGGATTTGATCCGGACTTTATTAAGGAGCCATTGATAGACTCCCCCTGCCTGAAAACCAAACCCTGAAAACAAACAAAGTTTACCTTCAAACACAGAGAACAACACCTTTTTAAAAAAAAAAAAAAAAAAAAAAAGAGAGAACAAAACCTTGCATCAGATCTCCAGGGTTTTAAAGGAAAAGTCGCTCATATTCAGAATTCAAACTTTTGAAAAGTTCTTTAAATCTGAAATGATTCCATCCTGTTCAATAAATGATCAGTGTTTTTAATTCAGAGTAATTTTCATGTGAATGTGCTTTACTGGAGGCATCCATGTTTGTCAAAGAACACTACTGCCACCTACTGGTTAGTGACGTCACGGTGCGGTATCGGCTGTTGATCAAGTCCCAGTGCTGTATCTGGTGTTTGTCACAACGCGCTATTATCCAAGTCATCTTGAAAACATTCTTCTTCCAAATGTTGGCTACATATTACGTGTTTTTTCTCTGGCCAGAAGTTCGATGGCAAATCCTCCCTCTTCAAGTTGGCGATCCAACGACCAACCCGTCCGTGGAGGATCAGGAATCAGAAAGGTGGAATAACTCTTTTTTTCCACTTTTACCCGATGTATTCCAGCATCCAGCTGCCATGCACGTGGGCATTGTCAGTTTCACTATAGCTCTGGTGCAGATGTGTCTTAACCTGACAACAGTCAGATGCATGTGTCGCTCCGCCCAGCTCCACCCACATACATCTGGGAACTCGCTCATTGAAAGTGATTTCCCCAACAGAATTTATGGTCTGTCCAATCAGGACGCAGGGCGGGTGTGTCCTGGAGTGGAGAAGCGACCAAGAGATTCCAACAACAATGGCGGGTCACATTGAGGAAGCAAGTGTTAGCATTGATGCTGCTATTTCTTCTGTGTTGTCCAATCTATCCAATATTGTTTCATTAAAAGAACATCAGAGAACGGCTTTGAAGGCTTTTGTTGGTGGAAACGATGTTTTCGCCCTTCTCCCGACCAGATTTGGCAAGAGCTTGATCTACCAAATGGCTCCTCCTCTCACAGCGTCACGGGTTAGCTTCGGTGTGAGTGGTTGAAATAGCACGTCAATAAAGATGACAGACAAGTGGCTTATCCAATCATATGCAAGGAGTTTTGATAAGGCCCAGCCTTCAGTAAAGGCAATTCCTATGGCGGGTTCCCAGATGTATGTGAGTGGAGCTAGGCGGAGTGAGACATGCATCTGGCTGTTGTCAGGTTAGATGTGTCTAGTAGTTCCCATTGATTTAGCTTGTAAAGCGGGGAGAATGGCGTTAGGCTTACCGCACCGTGACGTCACTGCTGGAAGATGGCAGGAGGGAGGGGCTACTATATTTGGGAAAAAATGGCCGCTCCCAGACTCAGTGATCGCAACGAAAACTATTGTCTTCACTAAATTCATTAAATCCCCGCAAACGTATTAGTTTTAGGTATAAATTTTGATCAATTAATTATTCCTCGCTGACCAGACATTTCCTTTAAGACGGAAACTTAATTTCCAGGAAGATTGTTTAACTATTTCTCACTTTAAAAGGCACGTGGATGCTGGTGGAGGTCACCCTAATCTTTTCGCTCAAGGCATAGCTGATGGTGAAGTTATAGTTATCCTCCAGCTTCATCTCCGTACTGATGCTCTTCAACATGCTGTTGATCTTTTTTGCCAGTAATACAGAACAAGCCTGCAGACAAACCGTAAGAAACACACTTTACTGACTCATCCATGTATGTAATAAAAAGTAATTAAAAATTTTAACAATGGGCTATCTTTGTTATCAATGATTCTTTGTTTATAAATATTCGGGCGGGATAAAAAAAGTCAAAGAAATACATCAAAAGGCTTAACGGAGAGACAAGGAGCCCCTCCTCCAGAGAATTCCAGTCAATCAATAAGTAAAATTTTCTTAAATTAATTGTATTTACCTTTAATTCTAAAATGTAAATCAGATTGGTTGCCAATGGAACAAGTATTTTTAATTATTAGATTATATGGACTTAAAATAAGACGCAATGTTTTTCTTATTTTTAATGTAATTGTCTTGTTTCATTGTAGAAGTGTCTCACTTACCCCCTAAATGCAAGAAAAAAACCTTTTTTATTGAAAAATTACTTTTTTTGAAGTGAGCTGCTTCTCATTTATGACTAGTGATGCCTGATGAAGGAGAATCTCCTAAAGGCTGATCTCAGAATAAACCTGCTGTTCTTGGAACTAAACAGTAAGTCAGCATCCCTTCATGCAGTCTTGTTGATTCTGCAGTAGAATCGTCTAAAACAACCAAACCTGCTGGAAGTCTGCTTGCAAAATCATTTCCCAGGCTCCTCTCAGATGGAACAAACCTTGTTGTTGAAGGCCGTCTTGATCAACCAACTTAAACTGCCCCACAGCCATCTGAAGGAGGGAAAATGCACATGTTTTTTCTAACAAAATCAAAGGAAAAATGTCCCCACTTTGCAGGGAGACGCTGGATTACCCACCTTCAAATGGTGATTGCATCACTGTGGTGAATTCCTATTGCTTTGTTAAAATGTTCTGCTACTATCATTTCTGTTAGTGTCATTCTGCAGGGTTCTGGAAATTATTGGGGTGTGTGTGATTTTCTAAGTTATAAATGTATGTCAGAGTTGTAGCTCTCCATCCGAGGACGTTAAATCCAGGGTTCCCGCGGGTCCTTAAAAAGTCTTAAAAGGTATTGAATTCTTCAAAATAAAACTAAGGACTTAATTGGTATTAAAATGTCTTTCGTAGGTCTTAATTTTTAAAACATCATAAATAGGATTATTTTTATTACGATTTATTTTTGTAATCTTAATAAAACATTAAAGTTGACAATTTTTTTTTTTTATTTAAAAAAAAATAACGACTCGCCATTATTGGTTCCGTCCCGATAGCGGAACCAATAAAGCGTTGTTGCGGCCGGGACATTTGGGAGATGCACCATTAACTTTTTGTCTCCAAAATCTGAGCAAGTGTAAATGTAATGTAAATTGTCTCCAGCCAAGAGTTTCCTCCATGGCTAAAACCAGGGAACATACATGAGGCTCAGTGGATTTAGTGCAAGAAGTCATTCAAGCTCAGAACGATGGGAATTAAGGCAGTGGAGTCGCACATGCGAAGCACGAAACACAAAGCGTCAAAATGGAGTTAGAGAGAAACAGCCGGTATTTCTCAGTTTAGTTCCACCCTTGTCTCTGCAACGCCTCCACTTATCACCAAATCAAACATACTAAGAAAACCATACAAAGAAAAATAGCTGCAAAAAAGACTTAGCACTGGTTATGTTGTGGCTTTAAAACTGATTTGTTTTGTTCCCTGCTAAAACAAAGTTTGTGAATTCAGTTAAATAATTGTTAAAATATATCTGTCATTTGTGTGTTTTTAGCTTTCTTCCTGTATGGGAAGCTTTTCAACATTTGAAACATTAGTGCAGTGGTTTATGTTAAAATAAACCTTTGGGTTAAGTTGATGCAAGCAGGTTTTTTTTGTGTTTCTTGTGAATTTGGTCTCAAAATTTTTTTTTCAAGTGGCATTAAAAAGTCTTAAAAAGTCTTGAATTTAACTTGCCTTATGCTGTAGGAACCCTGAAATAGATTTGAACCTTACTTCTTGCAAAAAATGCCTCCGTCTGAGCCTCCTAACTCCACAGGCTGCTCTCGGCTCCAGTAATAAAGCCTGCCTGGACATAAACTTTATAAACTTTAGTGAGAAGAAAGCTGGAGTTAAAGTGTTTGAACCAAATCCTCCTCTGTGTCTCCACTACCAGAACCTCTGACAGCATATTTTGAATTGACCGTCACAAATTAGAACAGTGAGTTTAAATGTGGAAATCATCTGGATCAGTTTTCAGATCTTACTTTCATCATTTAAGACTATTGTTAAAACTAAAACCTGTGAAACAGTCATCGATGCTTTTTGCTGGTGTGCGTCAGTCTTTGTTATTTCGTCTGCAGCTGTCACGTCTTGGTTGGTGTTTGTTGACCCAAATGCAGAGGCAGGGAGGCAGAGGTGATTTAATCAAAGGAAACAGTTTAACAAAGGCAAGAATCCAAAAATCCAACTAAAAATGTAAAGCAAACCAGAACCACGGAGACATCAGGGGAAACCAAACACGAGAAGCCAGCGAGACACGAGTATTGAAGACAACATGAGAAGCCAGCAACGACAAGGAACCAACAAGGAGTGACTGCAGAGGGAGAGTATATGCAGCTGACTGAGACAAAGGCAGGGCTAACGAGCTGACAAGGAGCAGGTGTGAGGAGAAAACGAGGGAGCCAAGGGGAAGGAACACACCCAAGAGGGCAACAGAGAACAACAGAAAAACCTGAGAACTAACATAAATCTATAAACTACAACAAAATAAGAATCAAACCAATAAAACTAGGAAACATGGAGCAAAGTAAAGCACAGATGACCGTTGATATATGATTGGGTGAATTTAGGTGTTCAGGCTGACCTATAACTAACTGGCCTGCACAAAATAATGGGGGAAAAAACAGATTTTAAGACAGGATTTTTATTTTAATAGAGATTTTCAACATTTTGGAACAATATAGTCTGATAAAGAGAACATTTATATACATATTTAAGCCAGATTGATTTGATATTTAAATATGATTTCCCTACGACTTTAACGTCCAACTCATTTTCGGAAATTCTCGCCTATTTTGCATTCCCAAATGAAAAAGCAAATAACTTAGGATCTGTAAGCCCAAATTACATGTGTGATGCATTATTTGAAAGCTAACACCTTCTAGTTTATAAATATACACATGAAAACTGTGTGAGTAAAACACAGCCCAAGCTGCATCAGTTCAAACATGACTCAAAGTTGTTTTTTGTTCTCAAAAATAACAGGTCTGTTTTAAACAGCCGTAATAAAGACCTGCTTGATTCTTGTTGCTGCTTTGTCACGTTTACATCTGAGACGCTGCCATATCTGTGTTAATTGTGCTTTAATGCTCGCTGTGTCCATAAACTGAACTTGGCGGTTAATTTGTGGAGAATCTAAGCTTTCCAATGATGTCTAACATCTATACTGGTAAACATTTTACTGGTGTGATTTTCATGTATTCTGCATTATTAGATGTGAACGCTTTAAAGCGGTTTACCAGCAACCTGGTGGGTTTTGAGAGGATATTCTTTTTCTTACAAGCTGTTAAGCAGAGAGTGAAGTAAGATTAAATATATATATATATGATTTTAAACTTGTCTGATTCTGTAATAATGAGTGTCTGAAATAAAGTGTGATCCTTACCAACATGCTGGGCTTTGTCAGTGATTCTCAGTTTTAGGCCAGTGGGGTCGCCTTCAGTGACGGACGAGCCCAGGAACAGCAGGAGGAGGAAGGGAGACATGCAGGACGTCATCCTGCCAACAAACACAATCTACATCAGAAAGGAGAGAAGAAGAAGGTGAAGCTGCTCAATGCTGCCCTGAAAATGCTGGAACAAAATGTCAACTTTAAATCAAAGGTTTATCAATTTAAAATAAAAGCAGAATATATTCAGCATCTGCAGAACATCTGTCCTCAGATTAAGTCTGATAAACGAACAGAGGACTGGAATCTTCCATGTTTGACGTAAATTCCCCAGATGTTGTGTTTAATAATTAGCTATCGCTCAGTTATCCTTATTTTAGGTGTTTTACATGAATTAGCCCGAGTAACGTTATTAATAATACTGTCCATTTCTTTCAAAGTAAAGGAAAAAATGGTAACGATCGGTTACAGAAACATTAGAAATATTTAGACCTTTGCTGAAAATAAAATCCTAATATTATGAAAATAAAATAATTAGCTTCTTTAAAATAAAATCCCCACTTTGGTTAAAAGAAAAGACGAAGATGAAAAGTTATTTTCAGAAAAGGAGAAAACCAACCGATGAATTAAAGCTACTTTGGTGTATTAAAGATTAATATTACTTTAAATAAATAAGTATATTTCTGCTAAAAAGTATTTTTTTGTTTAGATAAATGAAAAGACAGATTTCTAATTAAAGCTAAAAATGTTCAAAAGTCAAAGATATGAATAAAAAAAAAGAAATATATATCTGCTGTTTATCTGTTTCTATTCGTCCTTTTTTCCCCTTCTTTCCATCTTTATACCTTCAGACCAAACCTTAGCAACTTTTTTCTTTCTAAGTAGCTTCATATGACATGAACTGAATTATTATCCTCATTGTTTTTAGGTTCTATTCAGTTTATTTCTATAGCTCCAATTCACATCATGTCATCTCAGGTCACTTTCCAGTTCACCAGATCATCCAGTCAGATTGATTCAAAGTTTTCTATCTAAGGAAAACCAGCTGATTGCATCGACTCATTGACTCTTCAGCAATCCCTCACACTAAGCATGCTTGTAGCGACAGCGGAGAGGAAAACTCCCTTTGAACAGGAAGAAAACTCCAGCAGAACCAGGCTCAGTGTGAGCGGCCATCTGCTGAGGCCCACTGGGGTTCAAGGAGACAGAAGCAGACATAGAAAAAGAAGCATAGATACAAAAGGCAGCTGTCAACCAGCTCCACAGGCGGCCCCGTCCAGGAAACACACAGCCAGGCAGACGAGCTCCGAGCCAGCTCCCATGTCAGAGGATGAAGAGAGCACATCCAGTTAGTCACAGTCAGAGAAACAGGACTACACTGGAAAACAGGCCAAGCTCCAACATCTAGAAACAAAGGTGTTGATGGCAGCAGCACAGCTGATATTCACAGCCAAACAAATATTTTGCTATTTCATGTAAAGGTTCTTCTACTTTTACTGCTTTGCTAAAAAGAAGATTAAAATTACTTGCTACTCAATCTAAGTTGAAATCAAACAAAAAGCAGAATTTTTTACCTTGAATCCAGATGTTGAGGACAGCTGGAAACATTTAGAGAAAGTTAAGGAGCTGCTGGAACTGAGTTGCGCTGCTGTTTTCCCGGCAGACTAAAATACTGTCTTCCTGCTGCAGCTTTTGTCTTCTTCCACAGGATGTGAGGCTCTGGTTCGGGTCCCACACCTCATTGATTGATGGGTCCAGCATCCCTGGTGTGAGAGCCTGACCATTCACAGAAAAATATTCAGAAATGAAAAATATATATATTTTTATGATATTTTCTGCTTTGATGTTTAATGCTTTACTACCATGTTATGTTTGTTATTTGTTTTAGCAGAACTTTGATCTATTTATAGTGCTTTCTAATGCATTTCATTTAAAGGTGTCAAGTTTGAAATAACTTAAAAAGGAAGCTGTGGTATGTTAATATCACACCAACATCTCTGTTGGGACATTTTAAAATAGAATTTGTCAAAACAGGAAGTGTAGTAATGAACCAAAATATGTCTTTCCAAAAAAAATAAAAACAATCCACTGGACTTTGTTTCTACGTTTGAAGACGTTTCTCTTCCATTCAGGAA